CCTGCAGGAAACTGGCGGGCACATTTGCAAGAGGGAAAGAAGGGTTAGGGCGCACCCTGGTCTGGGTTGCCCTGGAGGGTGGGCATAGTTCTCAAAAGTACTTTTCCCGAAGGTGGAGGGTGCTAGGTGTCCTGGATTGGGTGGGGACTGGGCATGGCCGGCGGTCCGTGTTCAGCATCTCGGTGACACACGGAACAGAGTTGGATTCAGCGTGGGTACTGATTTCTTTGTTTTGTTTTCCTTTTTTCTCGTGTCTCTCTGTCCCCCACCTCCTGACTGCTGCTGTCTGGACACCACCTTGTCTTGCGGCTGCTTGGATCCCATCTGCACAGAACATATCTCCTCGATGGGTTAATATTGTCTTCTTGTTTCTCCGGGCTCGTGGTGTGGTGGTGTCTCGTGTGCTTGTCCCCTGCCCTCGGTCCCCCCTATGGTCTGGCTTGCAGAGGATCCCAGGATGGGCCTTCCTGCCCCAGACGGGCTGCACACCTCCCCTGTCCTTCTCTTGCCCCACCTCCGTCCCTGTCCCCCCCTATGAGGAGTGCGTGCCTTGCCCCACAGCACACAGCACACAGTCCTTGACAGCCTATGGTCTGGGGAGGGGAGCCACTCCCACCTGCCTATTCAGATTCAATGGGTTTTCTCAGGTAGGGACTGTGACCAAGCCAGAGGGCCAGGGCTGGAGTCCAAAGCCTCTGAGAATCCCCATGCTTGTTCAGCCGTTGGGATTTCTCTGGACTTCTCTTCTGCCTCTTTCCCCCGTGTGTCCAGTGGGACCATACTTAGCTCCTAGGAGGTCATGGTCATGAAGGAGGAGATTCAGCTGGTGCAGTGAGTCTCCAGCTGTGCACGAGCCTTCCCCCAGGGCCCCACACCCCAGTGTTCCCAGGGGAAGGGGAAGAGCATCATTTGCCCTAATAGAAGGCAGCACTGCCTGGGGTCTTGAGTGATGGAGAGATGAGGCTTTGGAGGCGCCCAGGAGAAGCAGGGCGGCCCAGTCCAGTCCTGGGAGCGGCCTCTCCTAGAGTCTTTGGCCTCTGCCAGGCCCATGTAAAGCCATGGTTGGGAAAGGGCGACCCCAGTGGCTTAGACCAGTGCTCCCGGGGTTCTGCAGACAGTAGCTGGGGTGTTTGAGTGCGGTACTGGGAGAAGCAGGTGCCTGCTGCCGCCACCACCTGTGCTGAAGGCAGAGGGGGTGGGATTGAGGGGGGTTGCAGTTTCTAGCTTGAGTTCATTAGCCACCTGGCCTCCGCTCCCCTCCCCAGCCCCATGGCTGTGTCTGCCCATCTGGTCTTGTCTCCGTGGGTGCCATGCTCCCCTTCCCACATGGCTCCTCCCTAGCCCCGTCCCGTCTTGCTTGGTCCCAGTGTGAGCTGCCCCGAGGCCCCCTGTCGTCCCTGCGGCCGGCAGCCCAGCCCCACCAGGTCCCTCTGCCTGGGCGCCAGGTTGCCCCGCCTGTGCACTGCCAGCTTGGGCCTTGTGGCGCGTGTCTGTCTCGGTCTGCTCTTGCCTGCCCGTGCCTTCGGTGTATTCATTTGGTTTCTTTTCTTTGACTAGCATAGCGTATCGTCGGGTCATTCGTGTCTATCAGTATGAAGTTGGGGATGATCTGTCTGGAAGGTTTTTCTCCTCTTATTTCTCTCTTATCTCACTGTGGTTTTACCAATGCACTCTTGACTTCCCCAGGCGGCTCCGCTTTCTGACTAACCCACCGCCCTCGGCCGCTTGGGAAGGAGGGGTGTGTCCTCCTCCCACTGCACCAGCACCCAGCCTCCTGCCCCCGGGTCCTAGGGGTGTGGCTTTTCCCGGGGGGACATGGCGTGACTGTGAGTCTGATCTGCTGGGGTAGGAGGAAGCTGGTGCCTTGCCTTGCTTGAGCACTTTGACTTGGGGACATTTCATAGCTAGCCCTGGCTCGCAGGGTGCTGCAGGGGTAGGCAGGGGCCCATGTGGGTGCAGGGGAGGCTGGGCCAAAATCCCAAGACATGCGCACAGTGTGACTCATCCCTGCACGTAACCCCAACTCGTTTGTTGTCTTCGTTCACTGGTGGCCTTCTGTGGCGTCACACTGTAACGTTGGGAAGATGGCTCCCTGGGGCATCCCTGCTCTTCAGAACTTGGCCCTGGGAGCTTTGGGCCTGACTGTCTCATGGAGCCTGAAACTGGGGCCTAACTGCAGTCACCTCCCTTTGGGCAGTAGAAACACTTTCAAAACCCAAATCTGGTCATAATCTCTTAGCATCCCGGCTTTTTGTCTGAGGGGTCATCTGACTGCGTCTCCTCCACGGCTGTCCCACCCTAGAATGTGACTTCCCTCCTCAGGAACATGCAGGAGACTCCAGGGATTTTCTGGGGGGTGGCTCTGCATTTGTCAGCCTCTCCTCCCTAAGGTGTCCAGGTGGCAGAGTTGTACAGAGCAGCTTTCTCCCCAGTGGCTGCAGGAGGCGGGCATGTTGTCAGGCCCATGGAGGAACCTCAGTTCCTCAGGCACCTTTCAGGGCGTAGCTTGGGCCTAAGGAGTCACATGAGAAAGGATCCTAGCCCGGGAGAGGCTGTGTGGGACTTGGCCCTGGCCCCCCAGTTGGGCCTTCAGATAGGTGGCACACCACCTGGGGCAGTAGTGTCCTGTCTATGGAGCAGGAGAAATACTACCTGCCCTCCCTTGCTCCCAGGGCTACTTCGGAAAAGATAGCTTCCTAGTAAATTAAAAAATAAAAAGTCACGGTTATCTGGGGATGGTTAATTTGAGCTCATGACGAGGCCCTCTTGCCTCACTGTCCTCTTGTGTTTAGGTCCTGCATGGTGGAAGAATCCGGGACCCTGGAATCCCAGCTTGAGGCTACCAAAGTAAGTGCCCCTATGGCTCTCTGCCGGGTGTGCTGAAGCCCTCCATCCTAGCATCCTCAGCAGGCCTGCCTGGTTTAACTGGTTTAAGGATAGGCAGGAAGTAGGCTGGGTAGGTATCCTTTTCTCCTTAGCATAAAGCAGCACAGGACCCCATCATCTTAAAGAAGGTTTTTTGTCTCAGACAATTGCCACCCAGTCTTACTTGCAAACAGAGGATCCTTTGGTTTAGTGTAAGTTTTCCTGGCAGTCTGCCCCTGGTTTGTGATGGAGGCTGTTGGATTTGACCTCACGCCATCCCACACAGCCCCATAGGCCGGGAGGGCCTCTCAAACAGGCTCTGGGGCCTGCTGTCCGAGGTAAGAGCCCCTGTCTCCTACATCCTTGCCTCCCCATCTGTAGCGCAAGCACCAGGAGATTCGAGCCATGAGAAGTCAGCTCAAGAAGATTGAGGACCTGGGGGCTGCCATGGAGGAGGCCCTGATCCTGGATAACAAGTATACAGAGCACAGCACCGTGGGCCTGGCCCAGCAGTGGGACCAGCTCGACCAGCTGGGCATGCGCATGCAGCACAACCTGGAGCAGCAGATCCAGGCCAGGTACCTGCCCCACTCGAGCAACACGGGCTATGGAGGAGGTGGTCTCAGCTGCCTGACCCCGGATCCCCCCGGGGTCTGGCAGTCACTTACTTGGGATGGAACAGAATGAGCCACCTGTTGACTCCTGCCTGTTCTTTTAGGAACACAACAGGAGTGACGGAGGAGGCCCTCAAAGAATTCAGCATGATGTTTAAGTGAGTATGGCCTCCCCAGGCCAAAAGGCAGGGGACTCAGCAGGCTCAGCCCCGGGGCCCCTGCTGAGCAGCCCTCCATTTGTGTGGCAGACACTTCGACAAGGACAAGTCAGGCCGGCTGAACCACCAGGAGTTCAAGTCCTGCCTGCGCTCCCTGGGTTATGACCTGCCCATGGTGGAGGAAGGGGAGCCTGACCCCGAGTTCGAGGCAATCCTAGACACCGTGGATCCAAACAGGTGAGCCAGAGGGGAGGGTAGTAGAAGTGGCTCTGCCTCCAGCTCCTCCCGCATTCTCCTGGCTCACTGCGCATGCCCCTCTCCAGGGATGGCCACGTCTCCCTGCAAGAGTACATGGCCTTCATGATCAGCCGTGAAACGGAGAACGTTAAATCCAGTGAGGAGATTGAGAGCGCCTTCCGGGCCCTGAGCTCCGAGGGAAAGCCCTACGTGACCAAGGAGGAGCTGTATCAGGTCTGGGGCTCCACATCTCTGCCCTGGGGATGGGGCTGGAGGTTTCCTTTGAAAAGTAAAACCTGGGATCCCCGGGTGGCTCAGCGGTTTAGCGCCTGCCTTTGGCCCAGGGTGAGATCCTAGAGTCCCAGGATCAAGTCCCGCATCAGGCTCCCTCCACGGAGCCTGCTTCTCCCTCTGCCTCTCTCTCTCTGTCTCTCATGAATAAAATCTTTAGTAAAACCTGAGTTTGCCCCAGGGCCAGACCAGAATCTAAATTAACTGCACCTCCCTTTTGACTTCTGTGTTGGGGGCATCTTATTCCTATTTACTACTGAAACTCAGACCTGTCCATCCAAGCTCATAGAACCAGCTGCAGCCTCTGAGCTCAGGTGTTCCCCATGTCCCCCAACACCCCAGGGCAGTGGGGCTGGGCTGACCGCAGCCTCTTCCCTACCAGAACCTGACTCGAGAACAAGCCGACTACTGCGTCTCCCACATGAAGCCCTACGTGGATGGCAAGGGCCGCGAACTCCCCACTGCCTTCGACTACGTGGAGTTCACCCGCTCGCTCTTTGTGAACTGATCCTGCTCCTAGCCTGGCCTGCGCTGCCTGCCCCGCTGTCACCTTGCTGCATGTCACCTCCTCTCTGTGCTTAAGTATTCCAGTGTCACCTCCCACTGTAAGCTTATGTCTGCTTAGCTTGGGATAAGACTTAGTAGAAATGGTGCTTCACTAAGCCACTTCTGGTCCAGTGGCACTTGCCCTGTGGCTGTGGGGACCCAGATTCCTGTTGTGAAGCCAGCTGCCCCATTCCGACTCGAGAAATCTAAACAGCTGGCTATTTCCCTTCTTGTTCTCCCCCCTCCATTTTGTTTTCACGTAAAAGACAAATAAAGGACTCTTCCCCCATATGTTCATGTTGTCTTCATTGAGCTTCTACGAGAAATCCACAGCTCAGCACAGGTGTGGCCTCACCCCACCTGCCCCCATATTTGGGGGCATTCCACACCCCCACCCACGGAGCCCTGCTGTCACTTAGGTGGCCACCTCAGCTGCCAGCTGCTCCAAGTCCTCGGTCTCCCGGGGTCCTTGTTCTGTGAACTCGGTGCTCAGCTGCCATACCTTTACTGTGCCCTTGGCGTCGCCAGCAGCCAGAAGCTGAGTCTGCTGGTGATTAAATTCCAGACAGTAGACAGGGCTTTCATCCTGGGTTTGCTTGATTGAAACTGTGGGTTTCTGGGAGCTTTTTTGGAGATCAAACAGCTGCACATCACCTGCAGATGAGAGAGACTCATGGGCCAAGAGGCCCCAACCAATAGCCTCTGCCCCTCTTCTAAGTTCCCTGTGCACCTGGGAAGAGAAACTATGGGCCACAGCACAAAGTAAGGCTAGTGCCTGGTTCAGCAACCCTTCCCTAGACGAGGGAGTCCTCCCGGCCCCGTGCGTCTCTCCCGGCTCAGAATTCCAGATATGTGCAGGGCCCATGGCACTTAAGTGGATCAGAGTCTGGTATCCTCTTTCCTACCTTCCCCAGAAGCAGCTGCAAACACCAAAGGGCGCACTGGGGACCAGCGCACAGCAAACAGGTATTTGTGGGACAGCTGCAGGGATGCCAGGGGCTGGGCCTGCAACATGGAGTACAGGTGGATGTGGCCGTCCGTCCCTGCGCTCAGGAAAAGGTTCCTAGACAGGATGCAAGGCAGAGAGCCAGGCAAGGGGGTGAGTGCTGGGTGTCTTGGTCCACTGGGCCTCCCTGGACCCCCAAACCAGGGACCCCTTTAGGGAATGAGGGCCCAATGCCCTCTGGGCACAAGAGCTCAAATGGGGAAAAGCTGGGCCCAAGACAGACTGCAGGCCCTTTCAGCAATTCTGTGGGACCCCCTCGCCCTCCTGGTGCCCGGTGGCCTCCTCTACCTGTGGAAGGGGGAACAGCTCACAGAGTAGATGGGACCCCCGTGGGGAGAGAAGATCAGTTGTGCCGGCGCCCGCAGGGGCACGGAGCTAGGCCTCTGCGTGAGGGCGGCCTCTTCCGCCACCAGGGAGCACTTGAGTGGGAAGCCGCCTTCCGTGCCCAGAACGAAAAGGCTGGGGTCAAAGCTGGAGAAGGCCACCGCTGTGGCGCCCACCTCGGTCTCTCCCCGGGGAGGCTGTGGAGAGATGGACGGCAGGGCAGAGCCAAGGGAATCCAGGCCCAGAGTCCCAAAGAGCCCATCACTTGAATGGGCGCCATGGCCCAAGGAGGTCAAGAAGTAAGTTCTCGACTGACCGGTAGCACCGGTGCTGGAGCTGCCTGCCCCCTCCAGCCCCCTCCCACCGGAGGCTTGCTCATGGGGCGAGGCCCTCTGGGGGCGGTAGCTGGGGCCTCACATACCTTCCTCAGCTTGGTGTTCCTCGGGAGCTGCTGCACCACCAGTGCAAAGCCGTCCGTGAGCTGCAGCTGGCCGGCCCCGACCCCCTGCCAGAGCAGCACCTTCCCGTCCGTGGCCGCGCTCAACACCTGGAAGCGGTGGCTGTGCCGGGGCTCCGGAAGCCAAACCACCTGGGGTGACAGGATGCAGGTCCAAGGTCGGGGAAAAGCTGCTTGTTCCCAGCCTGCCCCCACCTCCCAACAGACCCAACGGTGCCCCTCCGCCCCACCTGCCCCTTCTAGGAAAACAAGGAGGATTCTGGGGTAGGCCTGGAGCCACCTCACACTCCGGGGCAGGCGGCGGTCCCCAGGCTGCAGAGGTCCCTCCCTGAGCCCGGGCAGGCCAGGACAGCAGGGTGCCTCTTGTGGCAGCTTGGGGTGAGGGGGGCATGCCGGAGCGGCGCAGGGCCCTGGGGGTGGGCCAAGAGAGGGGGCGGAATGTGACTCATGCCCTGGGGCCTCTGAGAATACTGAAAGCAGTTGTCCAGCCGCCAACTCCCCGGTGACCTTCGGCCGCAGCTGTGCCAGGCGGGCGCCCTCGCTCCTACTTGGCCTCGAGAAGCAGGCCTGTGACAGCACATCACAGCTCAGGGGGAAAGGGATGGGGCCTCCTCCAACCCCCCAGCAGCAGCCCACGGCTCTGACCTGGTACACGGGGTCCGTGTGTGTGTCGTCTGTCAGGCCCGTTCGCCAGAGCAGCGGGTCCTCAGGATGGCTCATGTCCCACACCAGCACCTCGCCACTGTACAGCCCACCTGTGGGACCAAGAGCTGACTCACACCCTGCACCCCGGCTTCTCTTCCCACTTGCGGAGCCAAGATGTGGAACCACTTCCCCAAAACCACCTTGAGGAAAGTTGGTTTGGCCCTCAGCCTCAGCCTCACACCCCAGCCCCCTGCAAGCCTCACACGTCCCAGGAAGCCTCTCCTGCTGCCAGGCTGATCTCGGCCCGGTACCCAGCTCCTCCCTCCAAGACAACCCCCTCTTCCCAACATGTGTGGCCCCAATCACCACTGACGCTCCCCGAGGGTGCCCACGTCACCCTGCCTCTGGTCCTGACTGGGCTATACCCTTACACAGCCCACACCCCAACAAGACTCCACAACAACCCTCTGCCAGTTCTGCAGCCTCCCCGCCTCCTGCTCCTCCTCCGAGTGCCATACCTGGCACAGCCCGCTCAGCATCCTCACCTGAGCCCAGGGATCAGGGCCACCTACACTCTCTCCACACTCTCTCTCCCCCGCGGACTCGCTCTAGCCGTCCCTGGGAGCTCAGGGCGCAGTGGAGAGCTCACCTCTGGCCACCCTCTACACAGAAGGAAGCAGAGTGAGGCAGGCTCAAGGCTCACCTGCAACATGGGACGGCTGCGTGGGGTGGAAGGCCAGGCACATGACGGCGCTGGGCACCTCCACCACTGCCGATGGCTGCTGGGGGTTCAGGCCTCGCCTGTCCAGGTTCCAGGCACACACGAAGGACTTCAGGGTGCTCCAGTCCCCATCATCCAACCTGCATAGGAATGAGCCCGAGCTGGCTCTGCCTCGAGGCCAGGACTCATCCCCCCCTTACTCCTATCGCCTGACCCACCATTCCCCCAGCCCACCCCAAACAAATCAGCCTCTGTGTCCCTGCCACACCCAGAATGTACCAGGTACTGAAGTGGCACAGGAATCTCCGTGGCACTTCAAGGCTATGACCTCAAGAAAAGGGTTCCAGGGAACCAAGGATGGGTCTACACAACGGCAGGCTTGGGGAGCCCTGGCACATCAGGAAAGAGCTCATACAGAAAAGGAGGCAGGCCCAGGGCTCACTGCCCTGTGCTGGCAGGTGGGCACCGGGACTCCTGGGTGCTAAGCCCCTCCCTCCTCGGCTCTTTCCAGCCAACCTGGTGCCCAGGCAGCCTTGAGGAAAGGCCAAGCTCCAGGTCAACCCTTCACCAAAAAGACAGGGAAAGAGGCTTAGACCAGTCTCCAGACCTTCCACTGCCCTGCAGCCTCCCCTGCTGCCACTCACCGGCCATAGGCACAGGCCACCACAGACCCCGTGGTGTTCCAAGAGACACTGGTCACATGCAGACCTTGCCCTTGGGCTGGAGGGTAGCCCAGGGTGTGCAGACAGGTCACCTGCAAGAGACAGACCATCCCCAACCCTGAACCCAGAGCCAACCAACAGGTTACCTTGTAGGCACCTAAAAAATACACAGAGGCTTGGACCTCCCAGCCATCAAAGTCTGCTGCCCAGTCCTGGAGGGAAATGTGGAGGCTTCATCCAAACACCATTCCTCGGGCAGCCCCAGTGGCACAGCAATTTAGTGCCACCTTCAGCCCAGGGTGTGGTCCTGGAGACCCGGGATGGGGTCCCACATCAGGCTCCCTGCATGGAGGCTGCTTCTCCCTCTGCCTCTCCCTCTGTGTGTGTGTGTGTGTCTCTCTCATGAATAAATAAATACAATCTTAAAAAAAATACTAAAAAAAACTTAAAAAAAAAAAACAATAAAAAACGAACACCACTCCTCACAGGATACTTCGAAAAACCCAGAAGAAAGGATCTTATAAACCAGGGTAGATGCCAGGTTGTGGATCAGAGTTAGACCCTGTTCTACAGACCACCATTTCAAAAGCTTTGGCTTCTGAGGCACGTGGGTGGCATGGTGGGTTAAGGGTCTGGCTCGTTTTCAGCTTTGGACATGATCTCAGGGTTATGAGACTGAGCGCCATGTTGGGGTCTGCACTCAAGGATGACCCCTGCTTAAGATTCTCCCCCTCCCTCTGCCTCTCCGCGCCATTCAAAACAACAATAAAAGCTTTAGCTTCTGGAACTGGATGGTAGTGATGGCTTCACAACAAAGTGACTATACTCGGTGCCACAGGCCTTTATACGCAAAGGTCTAGCATCTTCTTTCACAGCCCAGAGCAGGCTGGCAATGCTGGCCACCATGAGCGGTCAGCCCAAGGTTTCTGGGACAGGATTTGCAGCACAGATCAAAACCCGTGTGAAAAGCTGACTGCTCCTTGACCTCATGACCCCATATAAAGTAAGTATCGAATAGAAAGAACCTAAAAAGTGTAAAACGCTGTATGGTGGGAACTGTCACTCACTGCTAGCAAGAAGACAGAATGGCACGACCACCGTGGGAAAACAATCTGGTGTTTCTTCAAAAGCTGAAATACAGATCTCTAATATGACCCGGCAATTCCGCTCCAATGTACACAGCCAAGAGAACTGAAAACACTGTTCACACAGAAACTTGTACACAAATGTTCACAGTGTTATTCCTACCAGCCAGAATGTCCACCAGCTGACCAATGCGATGCATCTCTCAGTGGGGGAAGGACTACTGAGCTACATGAAGGAAAGAGCCAGGACACAACCAGCCTCGCCAAACATTCTGCCAAGTGAAAAAGCCAGTCACCAAGACTGCTTCGTATACAACTCCATTTATGTGAAACATCCACATTAGACAATCTATAGACAGAGAGAGGAGGGACACCCAGGGATTTGGAGGGAAATGAGAAGTGACTGCTAGTGGATATGGGCTGTCTTTTGGGGGGTAAATGAAAATGTTCTAAAATTGTGCCAGTGTCGTACAACTCTAGAAACATAAACACTTATTGAACTGTACACTTTATTTTTTTAAGATTTTTAATTTATATATGAGAGAAAGAGAGAGGGAGCACACATGCACATGCGGAAGGAGGCAGGGCAGAGGGAAAGAGAGAAGCAGACTCCCTGCTGAGCAGGGAGCCCAATGCAGGGCTCAATCCCAGGACCCCAAGATCATGGTCCGAGCCAAAGGCAGATGCTTAACCAAGCCACCCAGGCACCCCAAACTGTACACTTTAAATGGGTGAATTATATGGGATGTGAATGATCTCTCGATAAATCTGTTATTTAAAACCAAGCCGTACAGGGGCGCCTGGCTGGCTCAGACAGCAGAGCATGCAACTCTTGATTTCAGGCTCATGAGTTTGAGCCCCATGCTAGTGTAGAGATTACTTAAAAAAACTTAAAAGAAAAGGAAAGGAGGGAACCCTGGGTGGTGCAGTGGTTTAGTGCCTGCCTTTGGCCCAGGGCACGATCCTGGAGACCCTGGATCGAATCCCACGTCAGGCTCCCGGTGCATGGAGCCTGCTTTTCCCTCTGCCTGTGTCTCTGCCTCTGTGTGTGTGTGTGTGTGTGTGTGTGTGTGACTATCATAAATAAATAAAAATTTAAAAAAAAAGGAAAGGAAAAGAGAAAGAAAAGAAAAGCTGTATGGTGGGGTAGGAAGTGGAAAGAACTCAAGAAAACCTCTGAGGTCTCACTACTTTTGGTTTCCTTTTTTTTTTTTTTTTAAAGATTTTATTTATTTATTCATGAGAGAGACAGAGAGAGATAGGGGCAGAGACACAGGCAGAGAGAGAGGAAGGAGCATGCTCCACGCGGGGAGCCCGACGTGGGACTCAATCGTGGGACTCCATTCCGAGACTCCTTAGCAGGGATCATGCCCTGGGCCGAAGGCAGGTGCTAAACCACTGAGCCACCCAGAGATCCCCTACTTTTGGTTTCCTGATCTGGGTTCTGGTTCCAATAAAGTGCTTGTCATAACACTACTTATAAGTGCAACAACCAGAACAACTGAAAATCTGAAGATGGGACTGCAGGTAGAAGATGGGGACGCTCCGCACCTTCAACACGGTGGCCGTGTGTTTGCCAAGACTCAGAACAGCACTAACGGTGAGCTGACCCGCATAGAGAACACACCTTGATAAACTTGGCTCAAAAAAATAAAGTGTGCGGATGAAACAGGAGGCGGTATTTTAAAAAGACAAGCGTGGGCAGCCCTGGTGGCACAGCAGTTTAGCGCCGCCTGCAGCCCAGGGTGTGATCCTGGAGACCCAGGATCGAGTCCCACGTCGGGCTCCCTGCACGGAGCCTGCTTCTCCCTCTGCCTGTGTCTCTCTGCATCTCTCATGAATAAATAAAAATAAAATCTTTAAAATAAATAAATAAATAAATAAATAAATAAACAAACAAACAGACAGACAAGTGTGAAGTCTCTGGAGCTACCTGACAACACAGAATGGGCTTTGCTTCCAACCAGAAAAGACCCCAAGATCAGTCACCATGACACACGGCTGTCCACACGTGTGCAAAACAAGAGGAAGGAACCAGCAGAGCCAGGAGGTCAGAAGTCCTGGTGGTAGCCCCTGGGGTGATCACTCCCTCATCTTCGATTTCTAAGTGTCCCTCCAAGGTTGTCACATTGTTTTGAGAAATCTGAAATCATGGTTTCTCTATGAGAGCAGCATGCTGGCCCTTCCGCAGCCACTGCAGTGGTGCCAAGGACAGTCATGAAATGACAAGACCAACACTGTGACAGCAGAAGTAGACACAGAAAAACCCCCAACGGCCAAAATAATAACCCTGCTTTGAGGAAATCAATACAACACTGATGCAAAAGAAGCAACGAGAGAGAAAGATTCGCTGACGTTGTTAATACAATAGCCAACTTGTAGGCTCTGGTCTGCCTGGCATTCCAAAACCCGCTCAGACGCACGGCTGTGAGGCAGCTACCATGCTGCCACTCAGAGGGTGCTGCCCTATGGCCCACCAGTCCGCCTGTTTCTGCAGGATACCTCGCTGAGTCCCACAGGGGACTGAGATGAAGGATGGCATGTCTGCGGTGGGACACAGCACAGCCACTGCACAGGAACTAACATGGAAAGCTCTGGCAAGTAAGAAAACTCATAAAGAAAACGTATAGTGCTTTCCATTTTTTGTTTAAAATGTGCTTGGGGCACCTGAGTGGCTCAGATGGTTAAGAGTCTGCCTTCAGCTCAGGTCATGATGGCTTGTGATCAGCCCCAAGTCGGGCTCCCTACTCAATGGGGAGCCTGCTTCTCCCTCTCCCCCTACCCCTTCTCTTTCTCTCTTTCCCTGTCAAATAAATAATAAATAAAATCTTAAAAAAAGAAATGTTCTTGGGACGCCTGGGTGGCTCAGCGGTTGAGTACCTTGCCTCTGGTTCAGGGCATGATCCTGGAGTTCCGGGATGGAGTCCCACATCAGGCTCCCTACGGGAGGCCTGCTTCTCCCCCTGCCTGTATCTCTGCCTCTCTCTGTGTGTCTCTCATGAATAAATAAAATCTTAAAAAAAAAACAAAGAAATGTTCTCAATGACAAACACTAGTAATGATGGGATGCTGTGTTAGTGTAGCGTGTACTACAGGAAACAGCTGAGGCCTGGGAACACCGTGTTCCCTCCCTCTGTCCACACAGTATATGCTCTGTGTCTCTGTAACACCTGGGTTTGTTATAATGAACACATGTTGCTTCTGTAGTCAGAAAACAGATATTTTGTAAAGGGGGAGAAAGTAATACAGTCTTGGACCAAATTAATCCATAGAAACGAGGGAAGTGCTACAAATAAAGAGCAGAAACTTAACCTCTCTAAATTCAACTGTAAAATGGGGGGTGTGGGGCATCAGTGAGGGCAAGGAGCGAAGGATGAAGGACGTGCTGAGATCTTACCTGGTCACTGAGCCCTTCCTGTGCTCAGCTTTACAAAGATTCAGGGATGGCCCAATGGGGTGTGACCTCAGCAACTGCTTTCCAGAATGATGTTGAGGATTTCCCTCAAACAAATCGACTCTCCCATGCCTTCCTATGACTTGGTGGGAAGAAGGCAGAGGAGGAGGAGGGGCTAGAGCAGGGCTTATGACCTCTGAATACATAGTTACTCATCTCTGTTTCCCGAGGAAGAAAGCATTGTATAAAAAAGTTTGGCCCAGAACACTAAGGCTCTGGGGTTGGTCAAAGGCATGTAGCACTGAGCAAGCAGCCTGTCCACAGGAGAGGCTGAGGCCCATGGGCTGAGAAGCCAGGGCCAAGAGCCCCCCAATCATTCAGAGGCTCCCTTATCTCAAAGCCTGGGCTGTCGGTGAGGCTGGACACCTGAGTAGACAGGGTGACAGCTCTGAACGGAGCCTTGGAGACGCTGAAGTCACTGGAGCAAAGTAGTGATACCGACCAGGGCTCACATCCCAGCTTGCCCCATGATAGCTGTGTGACCACAGACAAGTCACTAAGCCTCTCTGGGCCTGACATAAAATAGAGATCATCCCAGGGCTGAGGAGTGAATGAGATGACACAGAGAGCACTCACTGTACGCTGCATGGGGAGGCACAGCCAAGTAGTGGTGAGAAACTTCGGTCCAAAAAAAAAAAAAAAATTCAGTCCACAGACTTCCTGGTTTCAAATCTTGCCTCTACTGCTCACTAGCTCTGTGTGATCCTGGAAAAGTCACTTCAGCTCAGTCTTCCACCTGTACCTACCAGTACCTCCCAGCTGTGGACCAATGTAACCATGTACCTACTTCTTGACAGCAGGGAAGCCTCGATGACGTACCCTTTTTTTTTTTTTTTAAGATTTTATTTATTTATTTGAGACAGAGAGAGAGAGAGAGAGAGTGATGGGACACCTGGGTGGCTCAGTCAGTTAAACATCTGCCTTTGACTCAGATCATGACCCCAGGGTCCTGGGATTGAGCCCTGCATTGGGCTCCCTGCTCAGCGGAGAGCCTGCAGCTCCCCCTGCTTGTGTTTCTCTGTGTTTCTCTCTCTCTCTCTCTCTCTCTCTCGATCTCTCTGTGTCAAGTAAATAAATAAAATCTTAAAAAACAGAGAGAGTGGGGGATGCCCAGGTGACTCAGCAGTTGAGCGTCTGCCTTCAGCTCAGGTCATGATCCCGGGGTCCTGGGATCGAGTTCCGCGTGGGGCTTCCTGCGTGGATCCTGCTTCTCCCTCTGCCTATGTCTCTGCCTCTCTCTCTCTGTCACTCTCATGAATGAATAAATAAAAATCTTAAAAAAAAAAAAAAAAGAGAGAGAGAACAAGAGAGAAAGAGTGCATGCACATAACCTGGGGGAGCCATAGGCTCTCCAATGAGCAGAGACCCCAATGCAGGGCTTGATCTCAGGACCCTGGGATCATGACCTGAGCCAAAGGCAGCCACTTAACCGACTGAGCCACCCAGGTGCCCCTCAATGACTTACTCTTATAAAACTATACACCTGGCTGGGGCATCTGGGTGGCTCAGTGGTTTGAGTGTCTGCCTTTGGGTCAGGTCATGATCTCAAAGTCCTGGGAATGAACACCACATCAGGCCCTCCCCTTAGTGGCGAGTCTGCTTCTCACTTTTCCTCTGTGATCTCTCTCATTCTCTCTCAAAGAAATAAATAAAATCTTTAAAACAACAACAACAACAAAAAAAAACTATACACCTGGCAAAATATAAGAGCTCAGTAAACGCTGTTACTATTATTGCTATTATCAATATCTGGGCGGTTAAAAAAAGGACTTTAACACAGGGCTGAGGATTGAGCAGCAGCAGAGGTGAGGGGCTATTCCAGGCTGCACTGGCTGATTCCCTACCGTCGGCTGCTGCTCAGTCCAATTCACCTCGAAGCCGTCAAAAGCGTGGCTCTGCCAGTTCTTGTTCAGCTCTCGAATAACCATGGCCTCCACCCTCCGAAGAAAGGCTGCAAGCCGGGGGCCGTCGTACTGGGATGCGGGCAGCACACCGACCGGCACAGGAGCCTCCGTCTGCACCTCGGCATCCACATGCTTCCAGGTCTGGGCAGCCGCCTCCGCGGTGGCAATGCTCGCCGTCTGACAACTTTTCTGCAGAAGATCACAACCCAGCAGTTACTACCCAGCCTCACCCGCCCTCCCACTTGCCTCCCATGCGGCCACTTACCTTCAGGCCCCTGGGCCTCTGGTCACCCTGCCTGCCCCCTTCCTCTTGTAATTGGCCCATCTTCCAAAGGATGAGCCCGATCTGTGTGCTGTGGGTGGAGAGGACCTCCTATGCGCCCTGAGTCACAGTGAGTGGTCCAGGGTCAACCAACATGACCCAGTAAGAGCCTGACTCAGGACTTTTGGTAACACTATGTCACTATTTGGAGAGGATGCAGAAGTGTCCCTTTTTTTTTTTTTTTTTTTTTTTTTTTTTAAGAGCACCCTTTTGAAGATACTGACAATAATAAGAATCAGGTAACATTAGAGCCAGCAGTGGTCATCTCAACCAGCACATGGAAGCACCTCAAACCTGGCGACCAGCACAATTACCCCATGGCATCTCCCTCCCTTGGCAGGCACTGTCCAAGATTCCCCCCCTCCCCATGATCAAAAGAAGCGAGTATGTCGGGATCCCTGGGTGGCGCAGTGGTTTGGCGCCTGCCTTTGGCCCAGGGCGCGATCCTGGAGACCCGGGATCGAATCCCACGTTGGGCTCCCGGTGCATGGAGCCTGCTTCTCCCTCTGCCTGTGTCTCTGCCTCTCTCTCTCTCTCTCTCTATCTCTCTCTCTCTCTATCATAAATAAATTTAAAAAATTAAAAAAAAAAGAAGCGAGTATGTCTGTAATGAGCTAATAGATAGAAGGCAGGCTTCTCCCCAGCTGCCTCTTTTCTCCACCCGGCCATCTGCCTCCAATCCCTTGCCCCTGTTTAGCCGGGCACAGGGACAGACAACAGATCAGCCTCTCTCTTACGGACACGACCCATCATTTACCAAACAGGGGCCCTCTACCACACATCTCTGTCTTACAAGTGGCTCTGCTCATGTGGCCCCTCACCAGGCACCTGAACACACAGGGCAATGATGAGGCCCAGACCCTTGTGCCCCCATCTTGGGCAGTGCTGGGCACTAGGCCAGCGCTAGTAAGCCTGAAGGAAGGGAGCTGAACCCACATGAGAGCAGGTCTTGCTAGAACATGAAACATCTGTCCCCACGCTCCCCTTCACATTCCACAAAATTCTCTTTGCTTATCTACCTCCCATTAAACTGAGCTGCTCCAGCTTCAGAACCTGGTCTGATCTCTCTTTATATCCCCTGCACTTTGTGTGGTATTTGGCACAAGCTCATTTCATTAAAACCATAATACTATATGTTATATATATACTATTAATGTTATAAATATATACATACTACATATATATACTATATATATGTTTTAAATATACATATACTATATACACTATATGTTATAAATATATACTATATATATATTTCTCCACTATGCTACACACACACACACACACACACACACAAATTATTTACTGAGTATCCACTTGCAAGGCACTGTCTGGGTACTATTGATACAGCAGAAAGCAAAAACATGCAAGATTCCTGTGCCCAAGGAGCTTCCACAGGGGCCTAGGATATGGAAACAAGAAAAACCCATCAACTACCTACAGCGCTAAGTGCAGTGAAGGTGTGGGAGAGAAGGGACCAGCTGGTGAGGCCTCTGGGGAAGTGGCACTTGAACTGAGGTGTGAAGGACAAGTGGAGAGCTGCAGGACAGGGACAGGGGCTGAGGGTGGGGAGCCCAGAGCAAAACCTTACAGTAGAAAAGGCCCCACACTCAAACTGGAGCAGGCAGCGTGCCCGGCCGCACTGGGTGAGGAGGGCGGCATGTGAGCAAAGGCAAGGCCAGGACGTGTCTGAGAGCCACACCTCTAGGTGTGAGCCACAGAGTGACTGAAAGCAGGGCCATGCCTCTTGGGCGGCTCAGGCAGAGTGAGGAGCGGAGGGCAGGTGTGACCACAGTGGGATGTGATGGCAGATTCTGGAAGAAGAGAACATAAAAGCAGTGGAGGCGTCGAGGATCCCGAGACTGGTCACAAGGCATGAGGCTCTGGAGAGCATCCAACAGAGACGTGACCTGAAGCCACAGCACTGGAGGAACCCCGCAGTACCAGTGGAGTGTGCACATTGAGGAGTTCATGGATGGGCATGGGGATCAGAAAGTATACAGACTGAGGGGATCCCTGGGTGGTTCAGCGGTTTGGCGCCTGCCTTTGGCCCGGGGTGTGGTCCTGGAGACCCAGGATCGAGTCCTGCGTCGGGCTCCCTGCATGGAGCCTGCTTCTCCCTCTGCCTGTGTCTCTGCCTCTCTCTCTCTCTCTCTCTCTCTCTCTCTCTCTCTTTCTCTCTCATAAATAAATAAATAAATAAATAAATAAATAAATAAATAAATAAATAAATAAATAAATCTATCTATCTATCTATCTATCTATCTATCTATCTATCTATCTTAAAAAAAAAAAAGTATACAGGCTGAGCCAAAATTCTAAGAGACTGGGTGAAAATCAAAGTACCAGAAGCCACGAGAATGGTAAGATGGTTGGTCACTAAGCACTCACTCAGGCACCATCCCCAGAGTTCTCACCTATCTTATTCATGCTCACAATCACCCATGAAGGAAATTCTATTTTGCATGACAACTGAGACACAGAAGTAACTTGTCCAAGTTCACATGGCATAAACACATAAATAGGGCTTGGATCCAGGTCCTCTGACCCCCCTCAACACCAAACTGTCTCTGGGTCACAGTGTTCACACCCAAATAGCCCCACGTCCTGGCCACTAATCATGTCAGATGAACTCGGAAAAAACGTTTCTAAAAGAATGTTACCCAGTGTCCTAATGTAAAGCAAAAATGTCCACAAGAGACAGCGAGCTGTCACCTCTCCAGCTATCTCTACTAGTATTTTTTTTTTTAAGATTTTATTTATTTTACAGAGAGTAAGAGAGCACAAAGGGGGTGGGGTGGGGCAGACAGGAGAGGGAGAAACAGACTCTCCGCTGAGCAGAGAGCCTCACACGGGGCTCAATCCCAGGACCCTGGGATCATGACCCAAGCCAAAGGCAGATAGATGCTCAACCGACTGAGCCACTCAGGTTCCCCGCTATCTCTACTAATACTTCTTTGCTGCTTGCTTACTCAGGCAAGTAACAAATGTCAAAACACTAGAGAAAATTAGGTAGAAAATGAAAACTCAAAATCAATGATACTGCACCAGCAATGTTTTTTTTCTGTGAACTAGAAGGAAACCACCATTACTCTTTTAGTTCTGGGACACAGAAGCAGGTTCCTATGGTTCAAGATCCAAGTATCTCGGGACGCCTGGGTGGCTCAGCGGTTGAGCATCTGCCTTGGGCTCAGGGCAGGATCCAGGATTCCTGGGAGTCCCACATCGGGCTCTCTGCATGGAGCCTCTTTATCCTACCCTCTGCCTGTGTCTCTGCCTCTCGGTGTCTCTCGTGAATAAATAAATAAAATATTAAAAAAAAAAAAAGACCCAAGTATCTGGCCTGACCCTGATCTAGCCCAGACTATCTGGGGATGGAGCTCCAAGGCCTCCAGAAGGTAAGGGCTTGCCCAAGGCCACCCTGTATACAATGGTACCTCTCATTCCAGGCAGTGTGTGACTGGACCAACACTCCCATCTGAGATGTCAGAAAAGGAGCTGTGGCCAAGGGGGAATCCTTGCTTCCTAGGCCTCGGCAAGGCCAGGAAGGAGAGTGTCAGGGATGCTGGGCTGTAGCCTGCCTCTCACATCTCCCAGGCAGAGGTACTGCAGGGAAAAAGGGACTGCGGCCAGACTTTATTGGGGGGTGGGGGGCAGACTTTAATCACACTGGGAGGCGTGGCTCAGGGAAACAATTCTCAAACCAGGATGACCAGGCTCCTCCATGCTTTGGAGTCTGAAGCCCCCCTCAGAGAGGGAGGCAATGAGACTCAGAGAGCAGAGCCCAGGGTGGGAGCCCAGCTCTTCTGCCCCCAAGAGAGTCTGAAGACACCTAGAATGTCAGGACTCCTACCCAAGCCACAAAAAACATGCCCCAACATCATGCCCACTGGATGGGAAGGAGACCTAACCTAGGTCTCTCTGGGAACCTTACAACAGAGACAAAGATTTTACGAGTTAGACAGCACAGGCTTGGAACTGCAACCTGGAAACTTGGGCCCCAACATTCAGCCAGTGCCACAGTGTGACCAGGAGACAAGCAGAGAGGGGCCTCAGGGCAGGGATGGCAAGAGCAGAGCTGAGAGGAAGTGGGCCCCCAAAGCCTGATTCCTCAGGACCACCTGCACTGCCATGTAGAGGCCCAGGAGACTCCCCTGCCTCCTGAAGAGAAGTGCCTGGTGTGGCTGACTGCTGTCATCTGCCACCAGAGTCCAACACTGACCTCCGGGAAGGCTCCCTGACCCCCAGACCACCACCCATCAAGGCCTCACTTCTGAAATAGGGGGTCTCTGGCTGGCATCTAGGACTGGCTGATCAGTTTCAGAACACTCATCATTGACAGAGGAAATGGCCCCACTGGGCCTAGAGACCAGCCACCACCCACCGACAGAACACTGGGCTCTGCCTTTGAGGTCAAAGACTGACCAGTGCCACTGGCAACTTGGTTATTCAGAAACCGGCCAGCCAGAGAAACCCTTCCAGGGGATACCAACTGGAGCAGGACAACTTCAAAGTCATGAGTAGAACAGTCACTTTCTTATTAAAAACATACATTCAAAAAAAAAAGAAAAAAAAAACCATACATTCAGGACACCTGGGTGGCTTAGCGGTTGAGCATCTGCCTTTGGCTCAGGTCATGATACCAGGGTCCTGGGACTGAGTCCCACATCGGGCTCCCCAGGGAGCCTGCTTCTTCCTCTGCCTGTGTTTCTGCCTCTCTCAGTGTCACTCATGAATGAATAAGTAAAATCTTTTAGGGATCCCTGGGTGGCGCAGCGGTTTGGCGCCTGCTTTTGGCTCAGGGCGCGATCCTGGAGACCCGGGATCGAATCCCATATCGGGCTCCCGGTGCATGGAGCCTGCTTCT